GGGGTTTACTAAGCTTAAAAAAGTTCGGAATTGATATACGGGTTTAGATCTTAGGTTAGAAACTCATCTTGTAAAAGTTTGGTGAAAGTCGTTAATTTTACTAAATTTAATGAATTTAGATTGAAAGTCCTTGATTAGAAAAATCAAGATAGTGGATGTACGTTAAGTAGATCGAACTACTATAAATATTATCTTTTGTCCTTTTTTTTGAACCCTTTTTTTACTTAGTGTCTTTCAACCTTAACAAGTTTTAAACTTTCCATTCCAAAATTGTTTAAAAGTTTTTCAAACTTAAAGAGTTTTCTTTAAAATATTTTTAGTGCTATTCACCACTATCTAGCACTCTTTTTGGCACCAACCAGTGGTGTTAGAGCTTAATCTTTAATTTTAATGTTTAAGATCTTAAAGGGGAGGATCCAATGATTGTTCAAAATTCTAATGTTGCTAAGGATCAATCCACAAATAGTCCTCTATTTAATGGAACCAATTATCAATTTTAGAGCACTAAGATGTCCATTTATATTAAGGCTTGTTACTATGAGATGTAGGATATCATTACCAATGGTCTCTTCATCCTTATGAATACTAATTTGATAAATAGTGAGAAAACTCTTAAAGATAGAAGTAAGTGGATAAAAGTTGAAATAAAGAAAGTACAAATAAACTTCAAGGCCATGCACACTCTTATTTGTGCACTTGACTATAAATAATACAATAGAGTGTTCATGTGTAAAAATGTCAAAAAAAATTAAGAAAAATTAAAAGAGTTATATGGAGAAACAAAAAAAGAAAAAGAATTGAAAGACAACCTTTGTGAGAATCTATTTTCCACAAGCAACAAGGAAAATGCAAATAAGGAATCAAGTGAAGATGAATCCTTAAATCAAATTAAATTATGCCTCGTGACTTTTGAAGAGATAAGGGTTACTTTTTCATCTTGCAAACTTAATTCATATGCTTTTAATGAATTGCATGATGCTTTTAATGAATTTAGCATTTGAGTTTGAGAAATGAATTTGAAAAACAAGAAAACCATCTCTATACTTGACGTTGAAAATGAATTTTCGGTTGTTATAGATTTCTGTATTTGAGATTTTATATGTGATTTTAAGCTTTTGACCATTAGCGGCTTTTAATCCTTCAGTTGTTCTGTCATAATATTTTGTTGGTATAATTCTTTCTCTAATACAATTTTGATCAGCACCAGTGTCAAATAGTACTATCGTTTCTAACTGAAATTCTTCATTGATTAAGAGTTATTTTTATCAGTTATCTTTAGATGGAGACTTCAATGAGTACCATCATGTATTCTTTAGTATTTTTATTTTCTGTTTCTGATTCAGAGAAATATTGTTCTGCTTGTATTTCTGTGTATTTTAAGGATTCGATTTGTCGCTGCTCCTTTTAAGTTCAAAGATTTCTATTTTTAGGGTTTTTATTTCTAACCTTAATTCTTTTTTGGACATTTTTCTTGGTTTTGTTCTTTCATATTTGTCAAAAATGATATTTTTAATGTTGTACATTGCTTCATGATTTGGAAAATAGCTTTTGTTAGTTTTTTCTTTCATTGAGTCTTTTAATTTTTCAAGGTATTCTTTTTTTAATATTGGGTCTTGTATTTGTCAATAATTTCAATTATTAATTCTTGATCTTTTGTTAAAACTTGAATTAAATTTTCACTTTCTATTAATGGTTGAGATGTCGTTTGTATTTCATCTATTTGTAGATCTTCCAGAAATTCACTAGATGTATCTGTATCAGTTGTTGATTCTAAGAGAATTTCATTACTTTTTTGTTCAATTTCTTCTCCTAATTGGAGTTGGTTAATTTTCTTTTTAATTTTGCAGTATTTTGATATATGTCTTGTTTTGATATTGAGAAAATAAAGATTGCTACTGCATCTTGAATTTCTCTACCTTGAATATGAAATATGATATTACCTTCATTATCTTTTTTCATAGCTTTTAATATTTCTTGTTGTTGATCCATTATAAGATAATTATCCCACCATCCTTTTAGTTGTCCAGTGAAACCAACAACTAGAACGTTTGCTATAACATGATCTATGATTTGACCTATTTGGTTTTGAGTTTGTATACATTTGAGACCATTGTTATTTGTTGAAGTGTACTGAGGATATTATATTCAGACATTTCATCAATGTTCTATTCGTATATGGTATTAGCATTGTATTTATATTAAAACGTTAGTTCTTTTTCAATATTGATATCTGGTGCTGTAATTTTGAGATAATAATGTTTTTTCGGTTCTTTCCAAACAATTTTATTAATTTGTTGGTTATGTGACTCTTCTAAAGAGTTCTAAAAGTCTGTTTGATCATTTACTACGTTGATTGTGTGGGTTTGTCTTACTGGGGTATCTATTACTATTCTTGAATTTTGGCTTTCTTAAACATCAATCATATCTTCTACTTCTTTTAAGAAATGATTTTGTCATTCCTGGTGATATTTCTTTGGTACTTCAAAAGGTTAAAATACTAGATTTGTTGAAGGATTTTGAACTGTTCGGGGTTGATTTTGAACTAAAGTTTCTATGTTTTCTAATTGTTCTAATATTATGTGTAAATTCATATTTGTATAGTTGTTCTGTTCAACTATCATTTGGATGTCTTTTGAGGAAACAAATTCTACTGAGTCTAATGACCTCATTCTTAGCGGAGTTGCTTTTATTCTTATATTTTTATGTGAATATTGAATTTCTGTAAGAGGGGTGTTCAGATTCTATTTCACCTTTATTTGTTTGCCATTTATTGATGGTTTTTATGGTGTTTATTAATTGTGGTTCATAATGATTTCTAGCCAATCAAAGAACTCAAACAGAATTTTATGTTTGTTCATAAAGTTATAATATTCATGTAAGATTTCATCTTTTTTTTTTATCATATTTTTTTAAAAAAAAATTTATTTTTTTTTTGGAGTAAAAATGTGTTTTACACCATTCTTTATCAATTGTGAATTCTTTTTCTAATACAAATATTTCTGAATCAGGTACATTATTTGTTTTTAAATTCAAATTATTTGTCATTGAAGAATATGTTGGTGATATATTGGGGGAGTTTGTAGGGCTGTTTTCTTGCCTATTATATATGGGTTCAGGTATGTTTGAAGTTTTATCTGTACTTTGTAAATTGTTCTAACAGTGAAAGGTATTGAGGATACAGAGGCTTTCGTTATTCTAAAATCTGTTCCTATGGAAGATGGATTTTCTCCTAAGATGTTTATACTCCTTATTGAAGCGAAACTTTGTTCTGCATCAAATGATTGTCTTAAGGGTACTCTTAGAAGTCTATTGAAGACAAGTTCTACTAAACCATCTCTATATGTTGCAACATGGTTTATTTCAGTATTTTGTATTATAACTGGATTGGTGGCTACTTCTATTTTTCATCTATTTGGAAGTTGAACTTCATGCTATTGGATTGTTTTAGGTATTATGTGTAAGACCTAGTCACATCCATTTGAATTAACAGTATTTAGATCTAGGCATCATTTTGTAATTATGTGTTTGAATTTGAAGTGTAAGTGAGTTTAAAATATTTCTGTTTTTTAATGAAACCATAAAATTTGAAAAACAGTTGAAATGTATTGACCAGATACAAAGGCTTGTTTCTATAGTTCTTAATAAGGAATCATTAAAATGAAATGTTTTCTATCTTTGAGAACTATAAAGATTGAGGTGTCTAGCCCTTCTTTGGTAAGAAGCTTGACTCTTACTTGTATTAATTCAAAATGTATATAATTATATTTTTTACTACTAAGTTTTTCAATTGTGTCTTGATCCAAAAGCTGAATATTTTTATATTGGTTTTGGATTAGTATACTTTTCTCTTTTGTTTTAATTAAATACCCACGAAAGGAATTTAAATGTAAAGTATGAAATGTTGAGGATTTATAACTTTGATTTTGAGAAACTCTTGGAATTTCTCAATTATCTATTTCTTGTATAATATTTTCATAATGAATAGTTTTCTCGTTGACAGTCTGAGTTTGATTAGAGTTTGAACTGAAACAAGAAGAAGTTCTTAAAAATGAAAGCATTTTGTATTTATTAATTTTTTTCCTACATGGGAGGTTTCTACTGTTCTAGGGTATAGTGTTTCTTCTGCCTACAGGGGGAAACTATGTCCTAGAACGCCTAACCCTCAACTTAATAGATTATTTCTCACGAATTCAACAAAATGAACACAATACCCACCAAAAAATTAAAACCAAAATTCGAAAAAAAAATTAAAAATGAAAAAATACTTAAATTTTTTTTATAAAAAAAATACCTTTGCTCCGGTGTTACCTCTAATACCAAAGACGTTGGATCGTCACTTGGAGATATTAAAAATGAGATATTATCAAAAATAAAAAATTGCGGAAATACATAATATTTGGAAAAAAAAATATATGGAAACTTTGAGATGAGAAGAGGAACTCTCCTTCTCTATTATGAAGTTCTGTTTTGAATTACAATCTTCAAAGCTTTTTATAGATGGACCTTGGACATACATTTGAATTTACATTTTCATTAATTTGCTTTAAAATTCCTGATGCTTTTTAGGAAAGGAAAAAAATAAGGTAACACCATATATATATATAATTTTAATGTACACAGACATTATTAATTTATACATCAAGTAGAACGTATGTGTTTTTTTTAAATGTATTATCTTATAAATTTAACGAATTATTAATTTATCAAGTTGCTTCTAAGTCGGAACTAATAAAAAATATTATTTAATTGAAGTTATTAATTTATCAAGTATTAATTTATCAAAGTTTTACTGTACATAAATTAGTTACATAAAAAAAATAAAGTTCAAACAAAAATTACAATATAGTAAATTAATTGGAGATGAGATTCTAAAAATAAAAAGTCCAGAAAAAAAAAAAAAAAACAGAAGACGAAGAAGAAGAAGACCAAGAAGATGACAAAGAAAGCAATGAAGAGAAAACCCAATGAAAAAAAGGGACGAACAATTTTAGAAAGGGATGTATGAAAAAAGGAAAGAAAAAGCAAACTTTGCAATAAGATCAAAACGATGAAATACACATTGACAGGTGCTTCAAATACACAACTGCATGCATACCCAACATATGTACAGAGGAAGAGAGAGAGACAAGAGATATTACTGCTGGTCCTCGTTGAAGGCAGGCAGAGGAGCGTCCTCGTTGTTGTAGCAGACAACCAAAGTATTAGGAATAAAATATTTAATTAAATTATTATCCATTCATCTTTATGCACAAAAACTCATTATTTATTCATATAATTTGTCCCATGCATTCCACAAACAAACCCTAAATAAGAAATTAAAAATTTCAACCTCAGTTGATACAATCATGGACATGCAAAAAATAAATAAATAAATGAAAAAACCGTGAGCTATCAACAAAAAACTCAACAACCCAAATAAATAAGAAAATAAGACCAAAAAAAAGGCAAAAAAAAAAAAAACCATAAGCTACAAAGAAAGAAAAGCCAACCAAAATAAAGCATGAGCAACAAAGAAAGCATTTAGTTAAAACCCAAAGAAAAGCCAAACTCATTCACGCCATCCATGGGTACATGGGTTTTCAAGTTAATTACGCATTATTCTTAATAAAAAAAATCAGCAAAACAAAATAAAAATTGAAGGAGATTACCTTAACAGAACTGTGGTCAAGCTGAATAGCTCTCCAACAATCCTCTCCTACCAATCACTACATGAAACAAATAACCAACTGATTCCAAGATATAAAAACATGTTGAAAAACCCATTTTCTATAAGAAAAAAAAAAACAGAATTACTTGAAAAAGGATCATTAAGCGTACATACTTGCACCTGCGACGGAAAAAAGCATGATTCGTTCATAACACAGGAAAATTAGGGCATGAAATAATCACCTTTAGACAAAACAAAAATAAACGAAAAGAAAAACAATTAATGTATAAAAGAAAACAAAACTAATAAAACCATTAATTGAAAAATAGAACAAAATACGGGTTTTGTTTACCTCAATATCAGCATCCATGGTGAAATCATTGTTCACAGCTTTCGTCAATTGCTCTACTTGTCAACACGAAAAGGAGAAGCAAGAAACCGAGAGAAGAGACTTGCAAAACATAACACAAAGAAATCAAGCTGAAAAAATTCCAGAAGAAATTTCTGGAAGCAAGGGCATGAAAAAAACCAAAATAGCATGATAAACAAAACGATTAAAAAAAGACACTAAAACAAACTCCAAGACAAACAAATAAATCAAACAAATCAAAAAAAGAAGAAGAAAAGAACAGTGGAAAAAGAGCAACAAGAAAATGAAAAGAACGGAGAAAGCAAAAGAAGAGAGAACCAAATAGCAAACCAAACAAAAAAGAAGGCACTAAAACAAATAAACAAAGCAGAAAGAAAAGTGTAGTGAAAAAGAGAAAAAAATAAAAAAAAAAATCGAAAGATGGAGAAAGTAAAAGAAGAGGAAGAGCGAAGAAACCAAGAAGGGGAGGGGAAAATCTAGAAGAAAGATGGAGGAAGTAAAAAAAGAGAGTGGAGAAAAGAATGGTAAGAGGAAAAGATCAAAAAGCCATGGCTTTCGGCTTTTCTACCAAATAGCACCTACATCTCAAAATTCAAGCCCAAATCGATGACGTGGTGTTCTAAATAGGAGCAATTGTCCCCTCCTCCAAACAGTTTTTAATATATGTAGATTATTGTGGGACTACCAAAATAGTTTGGTATTGATACTTCTCACTCTTGTTTTAGAAGAGTTACGTGGTACCAGATCTTAATGGTGCTGGGCCAATCCCAGAGGAGTGTCCGACGGGACAAGGGTACTTGTCATCCCTACTTCCATTGCACAGAGAGTTAGGAGGTGTTAGAAAAGGAGAGCTACAGCTTCCTAACTCCAAAGGAAGGTGACTTTTCTCAGTTACTGTTTTCTTTCTCATGTAGGCTGGGGCCTTGGGTTCGTGCAATGGGATGAGAATACAACAATGAAGAGAAACAAAATTGGGCTCAAGGGCACAACAGCATCATCTTGAGCATGGAGTAGTATTCCTTAGGTAAAAGTAGTCAAATTGTACGCATCAAATAACAAAAGGGAAAAGAGTGAAACTGCCCCAACAATCTTCCAGAAATGAACAACGATCAGCAATGTCAAGCCTGTATCGCACATGAGGCAGTGACAGCAGGTATAATGCAGTCTCGTCATAACTTCCCCATTTGCAAAATGAAGGTCGATTTCTATACCTAAAAAGTTGTTCTCAAAGCTACTTGCCGTAGATTGTCTCAAAATGCAATTGTATTAACAATGTGGCTAGGCTTACTTGGAGCACTAATCAGAACTACAACATCGTGGCCGAACTTTCTTATTCATCTTGAATCAGTCTGCACAGTGTCACAACAATTTGGTTGCACTATATGCAATTAATAAGGCATTTAATAGACAATTTGTAAACAGCTATATATTTGTTGTTGGCTTGTTGGCCTCATTTGGTATCATGCTCATCAATAATCATTAAAACATCCATCTTGGAGATGAATGAACAGTGCTTTGACGTGGTTTGCTTGGCTGCTCTGAGTTGTTCCGCTTCTTCATGATTGAGGAAACTGTAGGGCTAAAGTAGTCATTACTCCTTTGAGAGGTTGCCCCTTGTGAGTAAGTCTTCTTTCCATGGATAAAGCTCCTCTGCTTTTCTAGCAATGCCCTGCGAGCGACTGGGTTTCTTTGAAAAGCTCCCCATCTAGTGTAACCCACACAACTCTGGCTCCTTCCCACTTGCTGAAAGTTTCCCTGTCTAGGACTCGTGTAGTTTCGACTCTCAGCGGTCTCGGCAGAGTACATAGTCTCCCCCTCACTGCTATACCCATTATGCATCTCTGAAAGTTCTACAGGAGATGAACTAGACTGGACCTCACTCTGGGCCCCATTTACAGATCCAGTTAAGGCAACATCAGCATCGGCATTGGGACTAGCCTGTACTCTATTCTTGATTTGATCTTCTTCTCTCAATGGACTTTCTGGAGGGAGCCCCTTCATACCGTTCTCATCTGAGTTCAGAAGCAGCTGTTTGGTTGGCTGCAAAACTACTGCAGCTTTCGCAATCTTGAGAGGAAAATTTATATCCAAAAGCTGAATTTGGCTAGCCTCTTTCTTCCTAATAGGGACTGCAGTCAACTTTGGTGATTCATATATTTCTGGAGTTGGGATTCCTTGCACATGTGATGCGTGTGGATCAGATTGTGGCGTTTCTCCTTCAACGGTGTTCACTACAGCAGGAGAGCTTGGTCCTGGTTGATCCCTAGTTTTTGAGATTATATTTGATGAAGATGGAGTTCTGTCATTATCAGCTTCTGTCGACTTAAAAACCTGGCGCATTGTAAAGGATGCAGAAGAATGCTCACTCTTTTGGCCTGAGGACATCAATCTAATAATTGGTAGCTTGGGTTTGGTAACTTCATCAAGACTACCTTCCCAATGCTGGTTTAACCAATCACAAATGATGGGAATGGGAATGCCAAATTGCATAGGACTGTCTTTCTTCCATGATGATGAGGATGAAGAAGAAGTCGAGGATGACTTGGTATTAGGAGATGTAGCTAGCTTCATAGGATCACAGATCATGAACGCAAGATTCCCCTGTGCATCAAATCCAGCCGAGCCAGGGTTCCATATTATTCCATCTGTTGACAGTTTTATGAGATTGTCAGTGGCAATCACCACCTTTCCTTCACCTACTGTCAATTCTTTTTTCTCTGTGTAACCTAGAAGGTAAACAGCACTTCCTAGATCTAGATTTGGTTTAGAACACGTCTTCAAGTAATGAGGTTGCTGCCCTTGGGTATTTGATTCTCCATCCATGGCATCTAAGCCCACTATTGTTAGATCTAAAACAGAGCTGGTGATGAAAAACCTGCGAAAAGATTAAAGACAGGAATTAAATTTGAAGTACACTAAATAAAAGAAAGAAAAGAAAGAAGATTTAGAAAGAAATATTTCAGGAGCTCTAGAAATATTTCAGAAGTTCTGCCACCTGTTTTGCTTAGCCCATGCATAACATCAGTAAATTAGTTAGCAGAGAAATTTTAATCATGAAACTATTAAACCAAAAAATAAAAAAGGAGGAAGAAGTAGAGGGGAGGCTCCAAGATTGCGTAAAACTTTAACAGAGCCAAAAAATGGGCTAGCCAAGAGAACAATTAGAACATGAATCAACTGAATAGAACAAGCCAATGAAACAGTAGGCATTAGACTATCTTCTCAACTTTTCATCAAATATCAAGAGTTTCCAGGTACTTTATTAGTGAGCTAAGTGACGGCATTTCCTATTGCTAGAACTACTTCAATAAGAGAACCATGGAATTTAAACTCAAGACACTATATACGAAGGAAATGTTAAAATTTCCGGATGCATCTACAATGATGTTGAGGGGTAGAAGGAGAAATTCTCAGTGCAATCCTTACAAGAGTCAAAACTCAAAAGAAGAAAAAACGTAACTGTTTTGAGAAATCCAAATTATCATAGAAGATTTCCAAAAAGTACAACTAGCCCAAGTACCAAAATCAACTAAGTCCACTGTAAGTTAAAAAAAAATAATTCCATAATTAAGAAACAGAAATTATCAATAATAAACCCAATCTGGATATCTTTCTATCTGCTCCACCATAGCATCAATGAAGTACATAGAAACCTTTGGAGGAGTTCAGGGGGAAAAGGAAAAAAGAAAACCCAGCAGGAGATAACTAAATCAACAGCAGAACCTATTATGAATTGTTACCATATAAAGTTTTTCTAATTTAAAGGATTCTTCTCATGAAAAAAACAAGAAAGTCATCTACTGCTTCAGTTTTACTCAACCTAATTTTATGCCCGTGACACGGCATAGGCTATGAATTTGCTTAACAGAAGCGCATCTTAACTTTCAGAAGGATGATAATTAATGCAAGGTGACTTGCAAAGTATTGAACCCACAGAAGCTTTTGAGTGTTTTGTTCGATTGTCTGCTCCTTTTGCAACATCATCATTTTATCCTTAGGTGTCATCAAGGTGAAGAATGTCTAAGGTCCTTGATCTATAAACTAGCAAAAAGTTTTTAGCTAAGCTTGATAAATTATGAACATCACTGTTTCATGGAGACTATCGAACTGCTAATTTACAGCATTTAACAAGACGAGAGAATTAAGAGGCACAGGTGACTATATGTCTATAAATTTCTTCCGTTGATATATGTTACTAATAAATATTTGTAATAAACATGAATTAGGAAAACACTTTTTTATGCATTATGCTATCTAACATATCTCTGAACACGTCAAGGGGTAATGTTGTATAATAAACACAGATTGAGAACAACACCTCAAAATGCTGATTTGTTCAATTTAACCCTTGTATGAGCAACAACTAAAATTAGCATGACTCTTTTCTTTTCCTCTCTTGCACTTATATAATACACAAGGCCCTTGGGTATAACTGACTCAAGAAGGAAAAATAAAGTAACCTCTTCTCAAGCAACAATGGCAAAGGTAAATTTTCTTATATATGCACAATTTGAAAAAGAAATCTTTTATCTTCCTCCTTAGAACTTCATTGAAGAAACCTAAATGATACTCAAATTATCACATCCTCATGCATAAAAACATTTTGAGATTAAATAAATTAAAGTACTAATCATCAGGACCTAATACTAATACCTAAATCCCAACAACCAAGCCTCGGCTGCATACCTTCTAGTTAAGGTAAAGTAGTATGGGCCTCTTAATTATCTATAATAATTTAACTGCTAGGTGAAATGAGCAGAGATCAAAGTTAAGTAGACATTCATAGTAAGTTTATGACAGTAAAATATCAACCAAAAACAAAGTTGCAATGATAACAAAGATGAATAAAGAACAATCTTTAATTAATGAAAACTTGACAACAATAAGTCTGACACCTAATGAAATACAAGCACAAAAGGTAAGCTCAATCAAATCTCAAAGTTGAGAATTCTACAAAGTATAAAAATCAATTCTACAACTACCAATCTTGGACCCACGTTTCTTTAATCAAGCAATCACAATTCAAAAAGCATTTCCCATAATACTTGTTGGTAACCACATCAAGTAAATGACATTAAAAATCCCTCATCTTTTTTCCCTCGCTAGTTAAACAAAAAGTGCAAAAATCCAGAAAAACAAAAAATATATATGTATTACCTGTGAGGAACGAGAGAGGCAGGCACGCCGTTTTGGAGCCGGATCTCAGAGCTCTCAGCAGCAGCTACAGAAGGGAGGTTGACGTGAGTAGTTAAGAGAAGATTCCGGTG